GGCCCCCAACCCTGAGCTCATCAGTGGGTAGAGCTGGGGGTGGTGGGCAGGAGTGGGGACTCCCCGCAGGCGGCTGCCTGTCTGGGCACGTGTGTGGCTGAGAGTAATGGGAAGGGTCTCTTGGCCCATGCCAGTGTGTGGGGTTCTGGCATGTCTAGGAGCTTGCAGTAGAGTTCCCCGGGTGCCGGGGGCTGTGGCATCCCTCAGCTGTGACAGTCTCTCTGTCCCAGACCGCAGCGAACCCCTGGAGAAGATGGCTGTCCTGGTGTCCCTCGGGATCTTCGCCTTCTTCGTTTTAGCTGCTGTTCTTGTCGTCACCATCCTCATCTGGTAGGTTGGGTTTTGAGAGGGAGGGGTCTGTCTGATTGCTGTGCCCATCCCACTCTGGGCCCCCGAACCCTCAGCGTGGGGTGCCCCATGTTCCCCCAGCCCTGCTTTGGGGTCTCTGCCCAAACAGACTTGATGCCAGCCCCGTAAGGTGGTTTATGCTTCCCTTGCCCTCCTGCCACATCAGTGCCTCTTCCTCGCACACCCCACCATCTGTGGTACTGCCCAGCCTGCCTGGGGTCTTCCTGACGAGCCTGACATCCATGGGTCCTTTCTCTGTATACCCCAAAGATGCTGCTTCTACTAACATGCCCCCAAAAGCTTCCACTTTGCTGGGGACTCTCATGCTCCAGAGAGAGAGAGAGACACTTCCATATGCCTTTGCCCTCGGGAGTCCTGCCCACAGGCACTGCCCACTAGTCCTGTCCCCAGGTCCCCTCTCACTCCTGCCATGCTGCGGCTCTGCTGTTGGTCCCTGTCCCCAGCCCAGCCCTGCTCTATTTCGTGACTGGCTCCTGCTGTAGCCCTGGAGCTGACCCTCTGGAGTGGCTGGGCACAGCTGGGCACAGCTGGGCACAGCTGGATGGGGATGCAGAGCAGCATCACCGGGGATGTGGGCAGTCCCGGTGCCCAGGGGGGCTGCTTGGCACCCTCAGCCACCACTGCTCTGTCCCCAGGCTCCGGGTGAGGAAACATGGCAAGGACAAGACCAAACCCCACAGCTTCTTGGTTGCTGCCACCCACTTGAAGGCACTGCCGAGTGAGTCGGGGTGCAGGGGGGAGGTGGTGATGGGAGGCATAAGGGAGAGAGTGTGCGGTGGGGGGGGAGGTCACCCCTCTAATGCCCTGCGCTCTCTCTCGGCAGAGGCCCAGATCCTGTAGTGAGCCCCGGCCGACCCCTGCTCCCTGCACCCGCTTGCCCACACGTGGGACTTGATGCCACTGCTGGCCCCTAAGGACCCCACGCCTCCCGGGTCTCCCCACGGCCGTGGACATTGCTGGAGCTCCCAGCACCCTGGGGG